GGGTAGTTGATGTCCGGCTGGGTTTAGCGGAGGGTGCGTTGGGGAAGACTTCGTGAGCATCGGCTAGATAGTCTACTGTTTTTCTAAATTAGATTAGATTAGGTGCAAGGGACGTCATTTGGGTAGGGAAAGGTGGGGCATTTACCACCCCCCCCCCACGAATTTGTAGGTTTTATTTAAATTGCAATGTACTGTGGCGCCTCCAGTATTAAACATGGCGAAAAGTTTTGGTTTTGTACCCCACCCCCACCACTGAAAAAACAACTGAAATGACGCCCCGGCTAGTTGCACGGATTTTTTAAATTAGTGTTGTTGGTTTTTTTCAACGTGAGAATCTACCAGAAAGCTTACAAAAAATACTATATTTTGAACTAGCATTTCGATTATCATGCCAATTCCATTTTTTGTTGTTTTATAAAAAATTCTCATTCCAAATTTGTCAATTTAAAATTAATTCTGTGGATTTGGGAAATAAAATGTTTTAAAGTATATCTACATCTAAGAGGCAATTTGTAATGAGTCTGAAAAAAAGTTGTAGCAGTTTGAAATTCCAAATAAAAATATCATTCAACTTAATACTGGGAAATATATTAGTATTCTTTATTTTTTTAAACAAGTCATGTCTTCTTTACATAATAATGTCATTCGTTTACGATTTATAAGAATTAGCAATTTCGATAACACAGAAAGATGTATAGAGCTTTCTCAGTTTTTTCCTATTTGACTCTGATAAAATATTTATCCAAGTTATTATTACACGTAAGTTGATTATTATAAGTAATTTTTTTTTTCATTTGTCATATAAAATGATGCAAGCAGAGATTTTTTGTGATGGAAACCTTTTTTTCTTTCTGAAAATTTCATTGATTAATTATTTGGTTAAACCCAAAAAAGTTTAAATTTAAAAAAAATGAAAGCCACATTACTATTTTGTAATATAAAATATTTGCATTCTACAAGTAGGTTATGCAGAGCCGTCGCACGACTTTTCGAGGCCCCTCTTCGTCACCTTTTGTTTTGTCCTCCCCCACCTTGCACTGAAGATGATAAGTCAGAAAATATACAGATCACATCTAAAATATCTGAGGCCCACTGCAGTCGTAAGGGGTTGCTGGGCTCAAACGATGTTTGTTAGTTTAAGTTACACCTATATTTAAAATAAAAAAAAAACAAAAAAAAAAAAAAAAAAAGAATCAGATTCATTAATCACCAAAAAAAAAAAAAAAAAAAACAAAAAAAAAAAAAAAACAAGCATCTGTTTCGTTGCTCTCCAAGTATAGAATGCTGTAAAACTAAATTAAAGTATTTGCTGGAATGCATTCTTGTATTCTGAATGTGTAAAAAAATGTATGGGAACTAAAAAGATTTAATAGGCGATATTAATCGATGGAAAATGCATAACCCCAATATAAAGAAAAAAGTGGCACCTGGGTGAACAACCTCCCCCTCCCCATTTATACGCCACTGGAAGGGGCGTAGCTACCGTATTTGGCGTCAGGGGACAACATTCTTTTTTACGCCCCCCCCCCCAAACTCTGAAACTAAGTAATTATTTTCAACCATCAAACACTATTAAAGCCCATTTTGATGCCCCCGCTACTCTGGTGCCCGGGGACATATGCCCCCTCTGCCACCCCTTAGCTACGGCTAAGGTCACTACTCACAGGCACAGCACCCCCACCCCCTCCGAAAACCTTAAAATGCAACCCCCACCGGGGCAAAATGTCTGAAAGAAACATTGAAAGAGTTGTAGCAAAAATTGGATCCTTACATGTGCGATGAATGAATTCATGTTTTGTCAAGTAACTTCAGTCAAGGGGAAGTTTATGCATTGCTGTCGTCCATGTTTGGCGAGCTATAACTAGTTTTTAAAAAATATTTTTCGGTAAACTATTTATTAAAATATAATAAGAAAAGAAAAGGGTGAAATAAATAAATTTCAAAAGAGTTTCCATGGGGAAGGGAAATTACTCTGTAAACAATAAGAAAGAAAAAAAAACAACAAACAAACGGCAACATGGCGTTAGCATTAATGTCATTCTTCAACAGCCAAACAAGATGTTTTTATTTTCTTATGTTCTTTTTGACATTACAGTTTCAACTAGGACATTTTAAGACTACTCCTTTATATCAACCCGAGCATGTACTAGATGCATCGGAGTCTCACTGTCTTGTTTTGTTACCACAAGAAGCTCTGACTACATCTGGAAGAAAGAGTTTGTTGAAAATGTTGTCTGAAATTTCGTTTGTAAACGAAACTAATGTTCTTGTAGGCGCTATTCAACTTAGCACGTTTATTTGGCCGAATGGACAGCCGCTCAAAATAAACGGGAATCCCAGTAAAAGCAAGCTTGAAAATACGTTGTTAGTGTTTCAACAAGTTAAAAAAGATAGAACTTGTCTCCTTGTTCCACAAACGGACATGTTACCCCCAAAAACTGTCTATTTTCAACTACCAAAAAATGAGATTGAGATTAAATTGTCTGACCTTTTGCTTGACAACATTGTAGCATTTATAAATAGTCATTGTCTTACCTTTCGAAATAAAGATGGCACACTAAATATGGCTGGTGTTCACAGACAATATATATTACAAAATATTTTCCAAACACAAAAGCTGAACGTTAACAGCTTTTCAAATAATAGCGAAAAAGAAAATATTTTTTTTAAATACTGCCAAAAAGAGGATTTATTTGCCTGTGATAAATCAATGGAACAATTAGCTGATGCGAAGCTAACAACCAAAGGCCAGACAGGCTTTCAGGAATGTGAGAGAATTCCTGTTCCAAAGTCATCTCAATTTTTCCAAGAATTTGTGTCTCTTTCAAAGCCTGTAATTATCACAGGTGCAATGGACCACTGGGAAGCATCTAAAAAATGGACAAATAGTTTTCTGCGTGCGAATTATGGTGACCGGTATGTTCATATTAAAATAACATCTGATGGAATCTATGAAGGAGTGGAGCCCATTTCTCTATGGCAGAATTCTCAAGGTATAAAAATTCCTAAATCTGTGCTTGAGAAATTACCCTACCCTGATCTTGTTGTGGTTCGTCCTGCAAGTTTGGAGTTAAAATTTTCAGAGTTTCTTGACCTAATGGAGGAAATCTCAGAAAAGAAAGTCCATAACATTTCCGCCTATTTAGAATACTCAACAATTGCCGACTATTTTCCAGAATTGAGAGAAGACATCACTGACATGAGCTTCTTTTCAAATATATTAGAGCTTAAGCATCTCAACATCTGGCTAAGTGATGGAAATACTCTAGGGAAATTACATTTTGACCCCTTTGATAACTTTTTATGTCAGGTATCACTTTATACACAATTAAACTTCTATGATAAGTTTTGTGATATAAAATTAAAATAAATAATTCTAAACCAGCAAGTTTCTGAAAAACATTGTAAAAAATTAGTACATGAAACAATTTTTTAAAACTGTTAAAGATAAAATGCATATAGTATTTCAAAGGGCGTAATAAAGCTATTTATTTATTAGCCTGAGTTATAGATAGCGAAAATTGTTGAGTAAATTCCCTTGATAAAGAGATTGTTAACGTGTTGTGGCCTGTTAGCTAGAAAGTGTTTACAGTCTTTAAGTTCTGTTTATTGAAAGATGGGGTTTAAAAAAATTTTCTTGGATTAAAGCTGGTGTCTACTTAAAAAGAAGGTTAGAAAGCTTATCTGTCATTTCAAAATTTCAACAACTCTCTTTTAAATCACTAAAAGTTTTTAGAAAGCATGATATACTTATATATTGGCATTCACCTCATTTCCTTTTCAAATATTCTATATTTATTTAGTTAATATTGGTATTTAAAAGGTAAACTTTGTTTACTCTGACAACAGATAAGTGGTGAGAAACAGCTTCTGCTGTATGAGCCCCACGATAACTCAAGACTTTATGAGGCTCACATACAGGAGGCAAGATTGACTTACAACAAGACATCACACACATTTCATAGAAAGACGCTTTTAGAAAGCACATCGATGGTCATGTCCCCTGTGGACATTATCAACCCAGATTTAAAGGTGGGATGCACTTCTTTTTTTATCATTAGTTCAGAAACGTTGTCCAAAGTTGACGTAAAGACAGATGACAAAATAACAAAATGAAATAATGCTCCACCTGGCAGTTTTAATGCAGTGCTGATTTATCAATAATTGACAGAGGTTCCCAAAGTTCTTGGATGTCCAGCCACTGAACTGCACAATTAAAGCCAGGGAAGTTTTGTTTATGCCAGCGTTTTGGTGGCATGAAGTCCAGTCAAAGCCAAACAGGACAGAGCACAGAAATTTAGCAGTTAATTTCTGGTAAGCTTATTTGCAAAGAAGGGTAAAGCAAAATTGAAAGAAAAGGTCAATGGCAAGTAGAGACTGTAATGATTTTCTGAGAAAACTTAAATAATTACATGGTCTACCAGTCATACTCCTCAGATACAAAATATAAATGACTAAAAAAAAATGAATGAATCGGGTTAGGTAGATGGAAATGTTGTTTGTTCACTGAAGAAGTTTTTTTGCAGACATCTTTGTTGTTCTGTTAGGTACTCCTCTATCTTGTTTCAAATATTTCCTATTTTGTTCAATGCTAGCTAATATTTAGATGACATTCATCAAAACTTTAAACTTCATTGCTAAGATGAGCTATTTTTAGCATGCATGTCACTGCAGTTTTCCTGTGGTCGCTTCATGTTCCTCTGCAAAAATAAACATCATTCCCTATTTGTTTATATAATTTCTATGAATCACATTTGAAAAATGATCAAAGCAAATCCCTGACGTGGATCTAAACCATTCTCACGTTTGAAAATTTTTTTTTTTTATTACCGTTTGTTCACATTCAGGTATGAGCCATTCTTGAACAGAGAATTCCCTTGTCCAGAATGCCCTCTTGATGTCAACCCAAAGTACTACCACCTGCTGTAAATGCCTGATGCGCATGAGCAAAAGTCAACCCCATTTTAAAAAAAGTCCCAAATGAAATCTTGACTCAACTTTGGGGTGAAGTATCTTAAGTTATACAACAACATATCTAAAGCTATGATTTCCCTTAAATATATTTATAAATATATATATTTATTGGATTCAATACAAAGCGTTTAAAAAATTATTTAAAACATTCCTGTCTATCATGTATTTTAAAACATTTTTTTTCTTTTTAAATTTGATTCGTCCATCGGTATGATTTGATTTTTTTAATCATTGTTTTCAATGACTGTTTGAGTGCAAAGTATTAATTTATGTGGCACAAGGTTAAAGATTCAAGCTTGCAATATTATGTTTAATCAACTTTGATTTCCTCTTTTTTTTTTTTTGTTGTGGTTTGGGGTTCAAGCTAATCAGATTTTTTTTCATCTCTTTGTTCCGGGACTCAGCTTTTTTTGATTTTTTTTATTTTTTTTTTTTTTAATTTTTTTTTTTATCTTTTTTTTTTTTTTTTTTTTTTTTTTTTTTTGTTGTGGTTTGGGGTTCAAGCTAATCAGATCTTTTTTCATCTCTTTGATCCGGGACTCAGCTTTTTCTGATTTCAGCAGGTATTAGTTTAACCATTGAGTTTTTGCATTCGGTGTTCCTGCACAAATGTTGATTTGTTTAAGTATACTGCCAACTTCTTATTTGGCTTAGATTTTGCAGATGAATGAAATAGCAAAACAAGATATGTGGAAGCTTGTCCTGTTATCTTATTTTAAGCTTCCACATACCTCGTTTTGCTATTTCATTCATTTACTAAGCAGTCCTTTCATTTATATTAGATTTTGCCAAAGAATTAAATTGCTCAAGATGTATTTTTACATTAAAAAAATGAAACTTTTACAGTATTTGAAAGATGGGGGTATTAATTAAAATAATTTCTTGGCGAAATATTTTTCTTACAAATGTGATTGCAGAAGTGATCTCTGAGTTGCAGCTCTGAACATAGAAGTGATCTAAAAGTGACAACTGTGAACCCAGCCAAATAGTTGAAGGTTTTTCATGCTGGCAGTAACTAGAATAGGATGTTATATAATTGAGCATTTAAAAACCTGCATGCAGGTTACCATTAAGACTCCACAAACCGTGCAAGCTATTTGGTTTTGAATGTAACACATAGATCGAATGTACAGAATCAATCCAGTGGCTGTTTAATGCTTACAAAAGTTACTGAACCTTGTAAACACCTGGCATATGTGAGAAATGAATTTTTTGTTTTCTCATCGCACCAATAACATAGTTAATCCCACATTTCAACTTATAGTTTCCTTTGAATTCCATGAGCTTTGTTGCACTGGCCCACTGCTCACCATTAAAATCAGTTTAATGTCATATCTGTTGATCTTTTGTTCTTTAAAGTGACTAGGAGAATCTTCTGCCCTTTTGGCTTTATGTTTTCTTATTATATTATAATATTTTAAGAGTTTTTTTTTTTTATTTTTCAATGTATAAAAAATAAAAATAGTTATATTTTGATTAAAACATTGTTTCTCAGATCTTTATATATTTACCTTTTTTTTTCTGCCTTCAATAATGAACACATCTTAAGAGTGAGCGAAGTTATATTTTATACTTAAGCTCAACATGGCTAAATTCAATTAGTGATGTTCATGTATGTGTCTATTTGTATCATCCCCTGAATCACACTCTCCATGGTGTCTTAGAGTTAATGTCCCATGTTTTGAGCAAAATCAAAGAATTTTTTTATACTTCCTCCTCGGCCATTACCAGAGTTAAATGAATGATTGTAAGATCACTTATTACAATAAGTTTTTTAAAAAAACAACCAAAACAAAAGCAGCAAGCATTTATTATAGTTGTGTAATACTTTAGTGAGCATGAGAAACAGAAGAGCAGTATAACATGAACATAAAGCCACGCTGGTGCTGGCTGGCCGAGTGATGGCCGGCAAAGTGATGGCTGGCCGAGTGATGGCTGGCCGAGTGGTGGCTAGCCAAGTGGTGGCCAGCCGAGTGATGACCGGCCGAGTGATGGCCGGCAGAGTGATGGCCGGCCGAGTGATGGCTGGCCAAGAGATTGCTGTCAAGGAAGCCAGCTTAACCGTCTATAGAAAAAATCCAGGGCTTGTGATTTTGTCCCGCTACATCAACACCATCATCACATTAGGACGGGCTGATTCCAGAAAGAAAGAAAGTCAACATTCTTTCATTTTAAAACTCAGTGATGACCGTTATTTATTTATTTTTTTGCTTGTGTATTTTTTTCAAATCCAAATCATGAATTGTTATTTTTTTTAATCATAGATTTCTTTGATATTGATATGTTAGCTGTAAGTCTAATGGTTAGAAATGATCAAATGTTGACTTCAAGGTGCAGTTTTTTATCCTAACTGCATAAAGTTCAAATATTTAATTTCCATAATATCTGATTGTTTGTGACACATTCCCAAATACTTTAAAAAAAAATTAAACAATTGTCCTTTAAATTTGATCACCCTTTATATTTGATTATTCTTTGATAATCCAGCCAGCACCAATGTGATTAGTATAAAACTTGTTTGTTCCTTAGATTTTATTATTCATTAAATTTGATTATAATTTAAATATTCTTTAACAAATTTTTTAGAGAACTATTTTCATAAAAACATATTTTCAAATTGTTTTATTTATTTAAGAAAATATAAAATGATATTTTTCTGCCATTCCAAACCCATTGTGCCCCGCTCTGCCCATGTCATCATAAACTTACAAGTGATACGTTCCCCATTATGTCATATTTTCACTATGCATGCCAAGGGCTTGCTTTTAAGTCCTTTATTTCTGCCATTGTGTTCTGTACACTGCATTGTGATATAAGTTTAAATTCACCATGGTGTAAGATGCAGCTATAGTATTTGCTTCTATTCAACTGTCCCTAATGGTTACCGGAAATTTGATCGAAAGAAATTTCGTCGATGGAAAATTGATCGACGGAAATTTGATCGAATGGAATTTTGGTTGAATCTTTTTTTCAGTTCACACGCTAAAATTTTCGTCAAATTTCTTTTTGAACGCACCATACTATATAGTAAAACAAATAATGCCGTCTATCAATTTTCCGTCTACGAAATTTGTTTCCATCAAATTTCCAGATACCCTAGGAAATAGGGAGTAAGGCCAATATCTACAGTTTTCTTATATACTACCAATATATACCTTTGTCAAAAACTGTTGCATCTGAATTTTAAAGAATATATTTTAGTTTGATACTAAATATCTTGATCTACACTAATCTAGAGGCAATATGCTTTAAGTCGGCGACATGCTGCCCAGATACTTACTTACCCACCTATGCAGTCGCCTATGATCTAACTACTGGCTTTGGTTACATGCTGCCCATATACTCGCTACCCACCTATACAGTAGTCTATATATATCTAATTACCGACTCGGTAATGCCCTTTTTTTAACTAAAATCATAAATGTTAACTTTAATCAAATGTAATGAAAAAACCCCCCAATAAAAACAGTCATATTTTGGTGGACTTTTTAGCAGTTACATGTTACAAATTTTTTTCAGTGTTCACAAATCCTTTTGTGCTGCTTTAAATATAGAATTTATTGAAATCAATTTAATTTTAAATGCCATTGCTGTTGTCTTCTTCCTTTAGTTCTCAGGAGATTGCTACAACATTTTCCAACCTTGACCTTCTTTTTGAAAAAAAAAACTGCTTAAAGTTACATGCGCGCGCAATTATTTCATGTTTTTTAAAGTTGAGATTTAATTTAAAATTTTTTTTTTTTTTTAAATTAATAAACACCATTCTCCTAAATGTGTTCAGGGTGAATAATTTACTTGAGTTCTTTCATTTGTTTATTATTTCTCTGTGTTAGTTTTATCGACTTGTCCATTATTATTAATTTACATGTGCTAAATCTATGGTCTACTTGGGGTACCACACCTCTGGTCTCTTTGGGGTGCCACATCTATGGTCTACTTGGGATGTAACATCTTCTACTTGGGGTGCCATATCTATTTTTTCTACTTGGGATGCCACATCTTTGTTTTACTTGGTATGCCACATCTATGGTCTACTTTGAGTGCCACATTTATGGTCTGATTGGAATGCCACATCTATGTTCTGATTGGAATGCCACATCTATGTTCTAATTGGAATGCCACATCTATGTTCTAATTGGAATGCCACATCTATGTTCTACTTGGTGTGCCACATGTTTGGTCTACTTTGGGTGCCACATCTATGCGCTACTTGTTGTGCCACATCTATGGTCTAATTGGAATGCCACATCTATGTTTTAATTGGAATGCCACATCTATGTTCTACTTGGGATGCTACATCTACGTTCTACTTGGTGTGCCACATGTTTGGTCTACTTTGGGTGCCACATCTATGCGCTACTTGTTGTGCCACATCTATGGTCTAATTGGAATGCCACATCTATGTTCTACTTGGTGTGCCACATGTTTGGTCTACTTTGGGTGCCACATCTATGTTCTACTTGGGATGCTACATCTATGTTCTACTTGGTGTGCCACATGTTTGGTCTACTTTGGGTGCCACATCTATGTTCTACTTGGGATGCTACATCTATGTTCTACTTGGTGTGTCACATGTTTGGTCTACTTTGGGTGCCACATGTTTGGTCTACTTTGGGTGCCACATCTATGGTCTAATTGGAATGCCACATCTATGTTTTAATTGGAATGCCACATCTATGGTCTAATTGGGATGCTACATCTATGTTCTACTTGGTGTGCCACATGCTTGGTCTACTTTGGGTGCCACATCTATGCGCTACTTGTTGTGCCACATCTATGGTCTACTATGGGTGCCACATCGATGGTCTACTTTGGTTGCCACATCTTTGGTCTACTATGGGTGCCATATCTATGGTCAACTTGGGGGTGCCACTTTTTATGATCTACTTGAGGTGCCAAATCGAGGATCTTCTTGGTTTGGCATACTTATTTAATGCTCGTTGTGGGGCCATATGTTTTAGCATGACCAGAAACACTGCGGTCAGAAACTCGTGAGGAGGGGGGGGAGGGTATCATCCGGGTACCTGTGAGGATTCTCAATTTAGCGACGCGCCACTCTAACCAGAAAGTCCGTCGGCCACCTCTCAAAACAAATTAATTTGTGTTTAATCCTACTAAATAAATTCGTGTACGGCACAGTTTTAAACATGAAATCATCCAGAAAAGTCTTCTACTATAAGTATAAGGGATGTGTATGAACATAAACATGAGTATAAATTGTATATCAGTTATTTGTTTTTATTGCAATCCGTGCGAATATAAATTCCTCATTTGTAGTAACACTGTTAGTAACACAGTAAATACAGATGCTATACATAAATATATTGGAAAACGGTAGCAGGTGCAAAGATTTCAAAACAAAGAAAATGACATTATTATTTTTTTTTTTACATGTACAAGTACCGGTAACAAAAACAACGGTGACATCCTGATGCAATGAATGACAACCGGGTTTACACAGAGTGTTCTTTGTTTACATCTGTGACAGAAGAACAAAGAACAGTCTATATATCTAGACCAATGTGCTCCCCCCCCCCGCCCACTTTTTTCCCCTGGTCCTTAACTATGATCTGATTTATAGATGAAAAGCAATAACCTCGATAACGAGGTCAAGATCTAGGATATTAGAACTTTAGCAGGCTGTCTATGAGACGCTGAGTAACGAGATGAAATGGAGAGAAGGGCAGCAAAGAGCAAAGATGAAATGGAGAGAATGGAAGCAGTGAGACATAGAGCAAAGATGAAATGGAGAGAAGGGGAGCAGTGAGGCAAAGATCAAAGATGAAATGGAGAGAAGGGGAGCAGTGAGGCAAAGATCAAAGATGAAATGGAGAGAAGAGGAGCAGCGAGGCAAAGAGCAGAGAAGAAACTGAGAGAAGGGGAGCAGTTTAGTGAGGCAGAGATTAAGGCAAATTGTTGGATAGCCTGTCGAGGAATTGATATACTGTCTATACATTTTAGGATTATACATAAATGCCGACAAGTCCTGGCCCTTTAAACGCCTTGCTGTAGATCAGCGTTTCCCAAACTTTTAAGGCTGGTGGACCGGTGGATAGGTCTCGAAACTGCACGAGGGACCGGTGCCAGCCCGTAGACCACGGTTTGGGGAACGCTGCTGTAAATGACTGGAGACGTAGAGCCTAGAGTACCGAGTCGAATGTTTCCGGCTGTAGTGAACAATAGAACATCATCACATTGTGATTGGCACGAATGTTTCCGGCTGTAGTGAACAATAGCACATCATCACATTGTGATTGGCACGAATGTTTCCGGCTGTAGTGAACAATAGCACATCATCACATTGTGTTTGCCACGAATGTTTCCGGCTGTAGTGAACAATGGCACATCATCACATTGTGATTGTCAATACAACACTCACAGATTCTCCTTGCTGTAGGAATTGTCTTGGTGCCGAATATTTAATGATATATTGTAACTCCAGAAACCCGGAGTGAAACTTAAAAGTCATGATCAATTTTTGTTAAATTCCTTTGCAATCATGTTTTAAAGTCAGAATAGTCTTGTTGAATACTTTAGTTTGCAGAAGGTAAGCTAAAATATTTGATGCAATGTTAAACAACGCTACTATGTTTTCACTGAGGTTGATGATGTATTGTAGCTTAGACAGCGATGTATTCACTGAGGTTGGCGATGCAATGTAGCTTAGACAACTATGTATTTACTGAGGTTGGCGATGTAATGTAGATTAGACAACGATGTATTCACTGACTATGTATCCACTGAGGTTGGTGATGCAATGTAGGTTAGACAACTATGTATTTACTGAGGTTGGCGATGCAATGTAGCTTAGACAACGATGTATTCACTGAGGTTGACGATGTCATGTAGCTTAGGCAACTATGTATTCACTGAGGTTGGCGATGTAATGTAGCTTAGACAACTATGTATTCACTTAGGTTGGCGATGTAATGTAGCTTAGACAACTATGTATTCACTGAGGTTGGCGATGTAATGTAGATTAGACAACGATGTATTCACTGAGGTTGGCGATTAGCAGGATGATGCCCGCCCCGAGAAGCAGGCCGACCGTGTGGAGGAAGGCCACTACCCTGGCCTCGGTACCGCCCCGCGCCAGCAGCAAGTCCAGGTGGTTGCTCATGTCTGGGAGCTGAGGGAGAAGGAAACGTTGACAAGAGTCACCCGGGTGTGGAAATGAAAAGAACAGATTCATTCCTACTTAAAGTCACATTCCTACTTAAGTCACATTCCTACTTAAAGTCACATTCCTACCTTAAGTCACATTCCTTCTTAAAATCACATTCCTACTTAAGTCACATTCCTACTTAAAGTCACATTCCTACTTAAAGTCACTTCCTACCTAAAGTCACATTCCTACTTAAAGTCACATTCCTACTTAAGTCACATTCCTACGTAAAGTCACATTCCTACGTAAAGTCACATTCCTACGTAAAGTCACATTCCTAGTTAAGTCAAACGGCCCCAACATTATTATGTTGATTTAAGGAGAATACGTTAAATAAATCAATAAAAGTTGATGTTACCAGTGGCCTAACCCCATCCTACAATTTGTAGCCCCCCCCCCTCGTGTCAACGCCGTCATCCAATAACGTCACATATTAATCCAATCAGGCAATAGCTTAATCGAATGCTTTCCTAGTTAAGTCAAACGGCCCCAACATTATTATGTTGATTTAAGGAGAATACGTTAAATAAATCAATAAAAGTTGATGTTACCAGTGGCCTAACCCCATCCTACAATTTGTAGCCCCCCCCACTCGTGTCAACGCCGTCATCCAATAACGTCACATATTAATCCAATCAGGCAATAGCTTAATCGAATGCCGCCTCCCCCCATATTAATCCAATCACGTCACCTATTAATCCAGTCACGCCACATGTTAATCCAGTCACGCCACATCTTAAACCAGTCACGCCACATCTTAAACAAGTCACGCCACATCTTAATCCAGTCACGCCACACCTTAATCCAGTCACGTCACATCTTAATCCAGTCACGCCACATCTTAATCCAATCCGTCACACCTTAATCCAGTCACGTAACATATTAATCCAGTCACGCCACATCTTAATCCAGTCACGTCACATCTTAATCCAATCCCACACAATAGCTTGATCCAATACCGCCACATCTTAATCCAATCACGCCACATCTTAATATAATCCAGCCACACCACACCTTAAATCCAAACGTGCAGCATCTAAACACCAGGCCTATCAGTTAAACGTAAACATAAAAGAAGCTTAACCAAACGACTACACCCCCCCCACCCCCGTCCCAACTCACCATATCCACCATGGGCACGTACAAGAAGAGGCCCCCGGCCACGGCGAACACCCACTTTGTGGCCTCCATGGTTGTGGTGCCCAGGAGGACGCCCACGACGAGGCCCACATAGCACATGAGTGCTGACAGGCAGTTGACGAAGAGGGACCGCTTGATGGACAGTCCAGAGTGGAGCAATATGGCGATGTCGGCTGTTGAGTAAGAGAGGGTGAATTCAAATCGCGGATGCACTCAAAACATAAATTAAAGGAAATGAAACAATCTAAAAAAAAAGAGATGTAAATAAAAGGTATACATAAAAAATGAACGAGAAAATGCAGAAGTTACATTTTTTTAAAAGCATTACTAAACAAGGTAATGGATCAGGGGGGTCGCCAATGTTTGGCCAGTGTGTCACAAATGACCCCCCCCCCCCCTGAAACGATTAATTCGGCCCATAAGACCTTCCGGGAACTAGATTCATGTTTTCCGTAAAATTTATAATTTGTCGTTAGTATTTTAGAGGTAAATAAAAGGTATACATAAAAAATTAACGAGCAAATGCAGAAGTTACATTTTTTTAAAAGCATTACTAAAAAAGGTAATGGATCAGGGGGGTCGCCAATGTTTGGCCAGTGTGTCACAAATGACCCCCCCCCCCCTGAAACGATTAATTCGGCCCATAAGACCTTCCGGGAACTAGATTCATGTTTTCCGTAAAATTTATAATTTGTCGTTAGTATTTGTAAAGGTCATGGAAAGTTAATAATCCTTATCGCAGCAAAGCGATGTCAAAAGTGATACGATGTCTGCAGTTACCAGAAGGATGTGTTCCTGAGATTGTGTAGGGTGGGAGAAACGAATTTCGGGCGATAAGGAAACGCCAGGATCCGGAAATCAGGGCGGTGTAAGGGAAAGTGTTTGGGATGAGAAAATGTTTAATGCAATGGCACGTGTCTGTTTTCCGTCAGAAATTCACCGAGACACAACTAACACGTGATCACTCAGAAGATGGACGCACCGCGGTGTGTCACTGTGCGGGGACGTACGGCGTTGCTTCAAAAGGGATATGCCCCACCACTGCCCCCCCCCCGATGTCGCTTTTCGCAGACTGTTCTCAAAGTTTCTTATATTGCAAACAGGAAGCAGGGTCGGCGCTAGGGGATGGGGAAGTGGGCGACCGCCCAAGACCCCGCATTTGCTGGGCCCCGCGAGTTGCCATAGTATATTTTTCATATACCTACACTTACAAATAGTTCCTAATCCAGTAGACACAATATTCGGAAACTAAGCGAGTGCACAAATACCTCCTATGACGCGTCCCATTATGACCAGCAAGGCCCCAGTACGACTACAAAGTGTCTTAATGTCCTATCGGCGGAGTATACAACGTCAACGGCCCCGAAACATTCATTTGCCCAAGCCCCCGCAGCCTCCTAGCGCCGGCCCTGCATGACGCCCCGTGACAGTAAATACAACCGAAGGCGGAGCCTCTGCTAGTCAGTGTAAAAAGGTCAAACCATGATATTTTCCAAAACAATTTAAAAAAAATTAATTCACCGCTTAATTTCGAACTCGGACAATTATCAGGCAGCGGTATCACAGAGTTTTGTAAGAGACGTACCCAGTTCATGCGGCACCTCCTCACAACAGATAGCGATCGATATGCTCATGCCGAGCGTGAGGTCCTCCGTGAAGGCGGCCCCGATGGACAGCCCGTCGACCATCTTGTGGATAGCGTCCCCTGCCATGATCATCCAGGCCAGGGACTGTTTGTCCGAGTCGTGGGAGTGACCGTGGTCCGGGATGACCTCGCGATCCGTCGTATCGTTTAACGGGAAGCTTTCCTTCTCGCCGGGAGGGTCCACTTTGAATGACATGTTGTGCCTTGGTTTCTCGGGCTTCTAATAGGAGACACGAGACAATCAGTTAAACATAAGACTTCTCTAGCTGACAGCACGTGTCTGCTCTAACGTCAAAACTTCCAAAGAAGACAAAATACGTCGTTCGCTCACCAATTCTACCATCAACGGGGGGACAGAAAAAAATTTGGTCACGAATAAGACACAAACATTTCACCGTAATTTTAAGAGTTCTATAGAGAACAAAAATATTTCGTTTTCATTATGCAAGACTGCCTAGGAGTCCAACCCAGTCCGTGCAATACAATGATATTCAGATATGCAAAGTTTCTCTCAAATTTGTTAAAACACTTTGTTAATATAGATTTACATTGAAAACTAAAGGATTTTTTGTTTGCTTGAGGGAAAAAAAAAAGAAAAGAAATTCTAACATTTTCTCTGCTGCGTCAAAAGAAATTGAGTTTGGATATTCTTTTTTGGTATACTCAAAGTTTTAAAATAAGAAATAAATAACTTCATTAATTTTTTTCTGTGTCAGAAAAACGTAGACTACCGTAGCGCCATCCAATGTCGGCGTGCAATTGTTAGGTTACCGTAGACTGTCATTTGTCAATCAAATGTCGAGTTTTTATGTCAAGATATAGCGTAGACATACATATGTCAATCAAATGTCGAGTTTGTATGTCAATATAGTGTAGACTGCCATATGTCAATCAAATGTCAAGTTTTATGCCTTTCCTACTTTGTAGTTTTCATTAAAATACCTTCTGGCATATCTGCGTGACTGGAATGACCGATTACTTTACCCTCTGATGTCATGACTCAACTGATCGCCTCCTTTTGTCACAACATCTCCACCGCAATCCACCAAGCTCAACCATCGTTCAACCACATCCTCATGCACTGGATTTTCAGACTCACCAGACAGTAAACTTTAATTCTAATAATGTACAACACCCCCGGCCCCCACCCGGCCCCCACTTCACCTAAAAAAAATAAATAAAAAAAATAAAAATAAAAATAAAAAAAAAAGAATTAAAAAATATTTAAAAAACGGAAATTTTGTTTTACCTTGTTCATATGTCGCAAAGTTTTGAGAACCCTCTCGAGGCTAAAGAAAATAAATATGGATAGCACAGCTGCAGATGCCTTCCAGAGGTAGTCTTTGCCCAGCTCCTCGATGGACATCAGGTCGAACGCCTGCAGAGATTAAAACGTTTAGTCCAGTCCCAAACAACGGAAACGGTAACATAATTTATAAACTCAGCGAAAACCTTGGCATTTATAAAAACAGCGAACACATACATTTATAAACAGCGAAAACAGTGACATTTATAAACACGGCGAAAACCTTGACATTTATAAAAACAGCGAACACACACATTATAAACAGCGAAAAGAGTGACATTTATAAACTCAGCGAAAACCTTGACATTTATAAACACAGCGAAAACCTTGACATTTATAAAAACAGCGAACACATAGATTTATAAACACAGCGAAAACAGTGACATTTATAAACACAATGAACAATGGTGAAAATTTTAAACACATTGAAAATTGTGAAATTAATAAACACAGCGAAATCAATATAGGTCTTACAAAATCTAAGCTCATGAGATTATTTTAAATTTCAATATATTTTAAACCATCTAGAGATATTTGGTGCATTCTAGAGACTCGGGTAGTAACATAAGATTTGCATGAATCCAAGCCACACTGTTTAATTTTACACAAATTTTGTTCTCGTCTACTTTCTCTCTTGAGGCGACCACCCTCATTACGTTCAGATGAACTTATTGCTAGGAGCTACTGTCGAGTGTTCAGCTATTGCTAGGCGCTACTGTCGAGTGTTCAGCTATTGCTAGGCGCTACCGTCGAGTGTTCAGGGAGTGTTCAGCTATTGCTAGGCGCTACCGTCGAGTGTTCAGCTATTGCTAGGCGCTACCGTCGAGTGTTCAGCTATTGCTAGGCGCTACCGTCGAGTGTTCAGCTATTGCTAGGCGCTACCGTCGAGTGTTCAACTATTGCTAGGCGCTACCGTCGAGTGTTCAGCACACAGAAGAGCACCGCCGGGGCACCAGGGGTCTGCTTTGTAATCACAAATGATCTTCTCCCACGGCCCTGACCTTCTAGGGCGTCAGGTGAAACCCACCTCAGGTATCAACACCAACAAACTGGTCGCCACCAGAGAGCCCGCCCCCATGGCAACCAGAAACTGGAGCAGGCGCTTGAAGAACCTCCTCTGCATGATGGGTCCCAGGCACGCCCCGATGTTGGAGATGAGGATGATGCAAGACACGAACCCGATGCTGTAACCCCAGGCTGAAAGAGGAGAATATTTGAACGTTACGGAACAATGTTTGTAAGACACTGAACAAGATTTGAAATTTACGGAACAATATTTGAAAGTTACAGAACAAAATTTGGAAGTTACCGAAGAATATTTGAAAGTTACGGAAGAAGATTTGAAAGTTACGGAGCATTATTTGAAAGTTACTGAAGAATAATATGTGAAAGTTACGGAACATTATTGGAAAAGTAAGGAAGAATATTTGAGGAAATAGTAGAAGCAATTTATGTGGAAGCTTGAATCGAAAGACGGGACAGTAACAGAAGAGCGTTTCGGCTAAGACTAAGAGCCTTCCTCTGTTACTGTCCCGTATTTCGATTCAAGCTTCCACACAGCTAGAGCGTAGTGCTTCGTTTATTAATAATTATTCACAGGAAAGATTACATAAAACAACTTTGGAATGTGAGCGAAAAGTAATTATAACTAATCAAGTCTTCAAACTTGCCCGAAATGAATCACTAGTGATCCCCACCCCATTCTTGAGCAGCTATTAATTTGAAGTAAAACCGATTTATCATTACCTTCGGCCATTGTTGGCCTTTCTTTAATCCTGACGTGGTAGGAAATCTCCTGAGCCCCTTGCGAACAATTCTCAGAACTGAGGGTACCGAAGGCCACTGGAAGTGCTTCAATGAAAGCCTGCGTGGACAGTCGGCCATCCACGGCCAGCGAGTTGAATATTTCCGGGATACCAGGACACTGGGCAAGAAATGAATCAATTGATATATGTACACCATGGCAAAGCTAGTGGCTTAATGGTATTTCTGTAGTAGCTGTATCATTAATGACGTAGCTGCGTGTGTTTAATGACGTAGCTGTGTGTGTATTATGACGTAGCTGTGTGTGTTTAATAACGTAGCTGTGTGTTTCATGATGTAGCTATGTGTTTAATGAGGTAGATGTATGTTTAATAATAAAGTTGCGTGTTTAATGATATAGCCTTTGTTGAAGAAAATAGCTTCTTGATCAATGCTATAGATGCGTGTTTAATGAAATACCGATGTTAAATAATATATACCTGTGTGTTCATAGATATAGCGTTCTGTTTAATTATGCAGTTGTGTGTTTAATGAGGGAGTTGTGTGCTTAATGACATGGCTTTATGTTAAAAGACGGAGTTGTGTGTTCAATGGCATAGTTGTCTGTTAAATGACGGAGTTATTTGTTTGATGGTGTACCTTTTAAAAAAAAATGATATAGCATTATGTTAGATGCTTTGCTGGAGTGGGAGACAAAAAAAAAACCAACTCTTGAGCTCTCAGATCCCTTTTATGAACAACATATTTAAATATCCCTGTTGTTTATTGTATTGTAAATGCCTGCTGAAGAGGGCTTTGAGTCGAGACGTCCGCTTAACTGTCTTGTCTTTGATTTTCATGCCTAGTCTTGTTCAAATATTTCTTTAATCTATATGTGTTGCACGCAGTCCCGCATATATTATAGGTAAATTGTTAAACCATAACAATGTAACATACGTAAAGATTCTGCTAGTTAACAATAAAGTTATGGAGGTTTTAACCGCAATCGGCTACGGAAGTCTTTCCTGGCAACAAACCCATACTACTACACACGTGACTAACTACCTAGGCAAAGACACGGAAACTACCCTGGTTCATCAAACACAACTCAGACTGATCACCGTGGTCACAAATTGGAAATTCACCTCATCTCTCCACGAGCAGTTGGTCTGCTGCTCCCTGCACTCTCCAACCAAACTGTCGATGAACTCGGCCGAGTGCGACGTGGATTTTTCCAAGAACACGGCGAACTCTTCAGCACTCAGTCCCACATCTTTGTCCGCACTTCCGTCCGACGCGTACCTCCGGATGAGCAGCTCCGCAGCACCTACGGCCTGTGTTTGATTATCGGCCCTGCCGGCCTTCACCTCGAAAGTTAACACAACAGCGATGAGAAATACCAGCTTCCTCATGGTAAGGCGTCTAATCAGGAGCAATTATATTTAATATATTCTGTAAAGCTATGATTTTTAAAAACGGATACAAGCGCTGGCATCCTACGAAGGCTTCACAATTATAGCAATGATATCGTTCACTATGATCTGAAATGTAATCTATCCCCCCTCACAAATAAACAGTGGGACATTCCCCTGGACTGTCTGGGGTATTTATAAGAACCTACGTACTTACTTATTAAAGATGGGTAAACGCATTTGTAGGTCATGGAGCCATAAATTATTGTGCTATTTTGGAAGGTTTGAAGATGGCAAAGCTGAGTGGTGCTGTTTTTATCCCCGATACTTGTCCAACGTTGGCGACCAGTTTGTATACGCACATTATTGCCCCCCCGTACTGTAAAGTTTTCAAAAATAACTTATCTCTATTTACCCCTAACGCCTTAATAAGATAGATGGCAGTTAAATAGACGTTTATAGTATGGAGGGGGGGGGGGGGGGGGGGGGGGGGGGCGACGACGTCACAAGAGCTTTTATGGCCTGTAAGCTATAAGGACAATGACACTTTATAATTTGCGTGCGTATTCTATTCTTTACTTGGATGTGGATGTTAAAATCATCCTTTTTTTCTAAACACGTCATCCAACGCCACTGTTGGGTCTGTACGGAACTTTTGTATAGTCTCTATTTTCTGAACCGTTTGACAAATTTAGAGACGTCCCATTATTAATTCTGTGCGTATATTTTGTATAAACCTTACTAAGGACTGGCCTTATGAACAGTTGGGAAAAAAAATTAGAGACGTCTCCACTGTTAATTCTGTAATTAACTTTTGTACAAACTTAACTAATGGCTCGCTTCCTAAACAGCTGGACAAATTTAGAGACTTGGCCCCATTCCTCCCACTCTTCCTTAAAAAATTATAAAAATAATCTCTGCCACCTTTGGTTCGATTCACTCCAATGTAAATAAGATTAATACATTTATTTTCTCGATTTAACAATGTCTCACACGTCTTGCCGAGCTGACACCACGCTGTAACCATAACATGTCTTTGAGTAAAGTTGATTTTTTGGGGTATTGAAAAAAAAACGATTCGCTTGGGTTACTAGAGATAAAGCTGAGGGGAGAGGGATAAAGTAAGGTTTTATGTGCACAGGGAAAGTAGACAGCATGACAACGCCATCCACGGAGTACGTGATTGCTGGCGTAGACTCAGTGACTTGCAAAGATCGTTAGTGCAGTCATATCTGACTTGGCACAAGTCAAAACAGGGTCTTTCACAGGTAAAGTAGACAGCATGACAACGCCATCCACGGAGTACGTGATTGCTGGCGTAGACTCAGTGACTTGCAAAGATCGTTAGTACAGTCATATCTGACTTGGCACAAGTCAAAACAGGGTCTTTCACAGGTAAAGTAGACAGCGATGACAATGCCATCCGCAGAGTTAGTGCTGACGTAGACTCGGTGACTTGCAAACACAGTTAGTGCAGTCCTATCTGACTTCGCGCACGTCAAAACTGTGTCGTCGCTAGAATCTTCGCTCACTTTACAGTATCAACTTGTTCTCGGGGCACCGCACATTCCCTAGCAACATTGAATGATGCGACGCCAGATTTCTTTCTCGGAAACTTTAATCGTATTTAAACATTCAATGCTTACAGTTTAAAACCATTTCATGTGTTGTTAAAGTTTCGTTCAGTCATGTGTGACAGATCCGTTGATGGCATCTACGTGAAAATGTAGAGCTGCCCATCCTGGGTTGTTCTTAAATGTAGGTGCTGGGCCATGCTAGTGCTTTTGTAAGTGCTTGGCCATAGCGGTGCTCCTGGAAGTGCTCCTGCAATTGCTCAGTCATGCCAGTTTTTCTGTAATGGCTAGGCCATGTTAGTTCTCCTGTAATTGCTGGGTCATGTCAGTACTCCTGTAATTGCTGGGACATGTTAGTACTCATGTAATTGCTGAGCCAGGTCAGTACTCCTGTAATTGCTGGGACATGTTAGTATCGTGTAAGTGCTGTGCCAGGTCCGTACTCCTGTAAGTGCTGTGCCATGTCAGTACACTTGTAGGTCCTGGGCCATGTCAGTGCTCCTAAGTGCAAATAACATTGTCCTAAAGCTAAGGCGAGAAATATGAGCGTGCGTCAAAGGTTTGTAGGCAGTCATGTCTTCAATCTATGACCCCCAAACATTGGGCGGCTGTAAATAGTGCAAATAAAGTTCACAACGGATTGAACGCCTGGCTTTTAGATCCGTATGGCGTTTCTGAGTCCCTGAGTTTGCTATTCAAACTTAAAAATAGATTTATTGTTTCTATTTAAAAGGGGGTAAAATCTAGTTATCAAATGCTAACTAAGCATTTCTTGTGTGGGACGTCACAGCAAACAACATTACGAAGCTATTATTAGTATTTTCCTTCTGACACTTTCATTTGTAAACATTAGGCAAAAAGTCACGTGATGTGCTATGACGTCATTTCTATAGCAGCCAGGCCGACGACGGAAATGACGCCTCGCTTTGAAAAGTGTCACCGCCATTTTGGAATACGTCTGTTTGCGTACACAATTATTCAATTGGATAAATTCTGTTACGCAAACTTTATAAGTTCAAATAAATTTCTTGTTGCGGGTTTGTGCAAAAACAAACGTGGACGAAATGGGGGGGGGGGGGCGAACTCCCCCTAAAAATGCCCCCCTCCCACCCTTTTCAGTAAAGTATCCAATATATTCGGTATGTCATGGCCTGCCAACAAGGGCTATTATTTTTTAAAGTTAAATACACTGCAGCAACAGTTGATCCCAATTTTATGTGAAAAAACTTCTCAACTTAAAATCCAAGCAGTGCTGAAAATATTCCACAAATTTACGAACCGCCCGTAACAATGTGACATCACAAGACTTTACATAATCGTTCTTTCTTTCTTTTATTTTTAAATATAGAATTCCGTTAAAATATTGAATAATTTTTTTGCAAGGTATTTGAAGTGAAACAGAAACTAGAATTCTCAGCATGAGTGAATTTTTTTTTTTGTTTCTTGCCTTTGTTAAAGACGTGTGATCACTAGTTGAAGCTATCAAACACTGATGTCAGCGCCGGGCAATAGGCTAACGCTAAAGGCTGGGATTTGCGTCATATGGTATAGATTTATGTACTGTTTAAGGGATATTTTAATTGCTTTAGCTCCATAGTGATAAGAAAGTTAGATTTTGAATAATTCGCCCGTAAACAATGTGTTTGTACTTAAAACTTTTTTTGAAGGTTTGAAATAGTTCTCTGTAAATATTATTTTTAATGATTTGGTCATGCTTGCTAAAAGCGCCAAACTCGTGAATGAAGAATTCCGACAGATGAGTGACGCCGATGGTATTGAACACTAACGGAAATCATTTTAAAATTGGATTGGACAGGATGCTGGGACAAGTGTTCTGTGGGTAGTGGCGTCCCTGGGGCTGGCGTTACCCAATGTGGTGTCACTTGTGGTATCACCCTTTCTAGACTTTTCCGTAACCCTTCTTCGAAACTGCTTTCTCTGCAGGAAACCTGGCCAGATGACATCCTGCTCTGGTGGTAGCCTAATCTGGGGGCATATTGTTTTGATGACACCCTATTCTGGTGGCACCATGCTGTTCTCGTGACACCCTGTTCTGGCGGAATCCTGCTCTTATACTTAATGATTTGGTAATGATTTTGCTGTGCTCTGTTACTTGTCTTGCATCTATTTGTATTGTTCGCCGAAGAAGGTTCTAAGCCGAAACGTTCAAATATTATTGTCCAGTCTTTTTATTCAAGCATAACATACCCTTTTCTACTATTTCTTATACTTAACTACCATGAAACAGTCTCGAGAGAGCTCTGCTAAACGAGTAATATTTTCCCCCTTTTGGTGTCTTCCTATGTGGACAAAGTTTTTTTTTAAAGATACTGAAAAATTATCCTACACATTATGTTTGTGCTTTAGTGACATAGAAAATACTCATATTGTATTACATGAATTGTATATCCGGTCCGTCGTTACTATTTTAATACTAACTAAACAAACTCTAAAAACAAAATTTTTAAGTATAAATCCTTTATATGTATTTTTTTAAATTGTTTTATTTTATGTTAATTTTCTAATGTCGCCCCCGCGTTTACACCACCGATTTATTTCACCAACTATTTCAGAAAAACACAAGATAATATTACGCACCAAACGCACTGGCGATATTTAAAATTTTTTTTTGTACAGAGTCTCCTTTAGGATAGTTATTGGAAATTTTAATTTTTGAAATTAGTGGCATCATATTTCTTTCATTTGCCCCATAAAAACTAAGAAAGACTGATTTCGGGGGTAGCGGGTGGGATTGAAAATTTGATAGAATATTTTGTCATCGGCAACGAGTAAGAATGCCAAGTTTCAGCTCGATAGGTTGACGGGAAGTAGATAAATCAGACGCCCTGAGATTTTGCCACACACCCAGCCAGAAAGAAGCACACACATAAACAAAGAAGTTTTAAAAAAAATGATTTCTTTCAAAGGCGAATTAAAACGGACTAAAAAGTAGAAAATAGCATTTAAATATCTTAAAATGCATTACTCAAAGATAGACTGTGCAGATGTGTAGCTCGGCACTCTATGAAGCAAAAGTCCTCAGAATTAATAAAGACTAAACACAGTATATATTTTTTTTTAAAAATTTCTTTCTTTTTTTTGGGATTAAATTTTCATGCAAAGACTTTCTTTGCGTAATGCATTTTAAGAAATTTTTCAATTGTCTTCTACTTTATAGTGCGTTTTGACTAGTCATTAACAGATAGTCTTTTTGCAAAAGTATTATGTTTTATTATTTTTTATTTGTGACTCTTTATTATTAAAATTCTAATCTTTAAATTATCGACAAAAGTAGAACAATTTCCCTTTTTAAAACATCGAATGCTTATAAAAATCGCGGTCAAAGTGATTTAACATTTTCCCCAGGCATAAAACGAAAAAGTAGATCCCAGCTCACCCACCCAACCGCTCATTCAACGAAGCAGACGCGGTCAAACGCGCTAGTTTGAGCGACAGTGTCAACCCGCCTCCGTTGACCCATCGTTCTCTCCAGCAGTTCACCAGGTGAGCACTGCACGAGAAAGACTGAAACTTAAAATGTCACCTTAGTAAAAAAAAAAAAAAAACTCTCCATCTACACGTGCACAAAGATAAATATGCGAGAAAATAAAAAGTCTTTAAGAATAATTAAAAATAAAAGCCCAGAAAAATCCTACTTAAAGAACAAGTAGATAAAAATGATAACTGTAAAACTGTAAAAAAAAAAATGTTCTCTCCAGCAGTTCACCAGGTGAGCACTGAACGAGAAAGACTGAAACTTAAAATGTCACCTTAGTAAAAAAAAAAAAAAAACTCTCCATCTACACGTGCACAAAGATAGATATGCGAGTAGATAGAAAGTCTTTAAGAATAATTAAAAATAGAAGCCCAGAACAATCCTACTTGAAGAACAAGTAGATATAAATGATCACTGTCAAACTGTAGAAAAAAAAATCTACAAGAGTGCGAGTCTATCTCATAACATATGACCGTACGAAGAAGATTCACATTTCTTAAACGCAAAAATATTTTTTTTTAAAACCTCAAAATGAAACTTTAAAAGCTTAATATACCAGAGGTAATGATTTACTTAATAGTCTTGGAAATTAGAGTGTCCTAGGACTTCAAAATGTTTGCGAAATCTTTACTCTGGAAGGAATAAGTCCTCAACTGATCTAAACTGAAACACCACTCGATTAACTTAACAAGAACCGCCTCAAATATCGCTACAGGGCAACAGTCGTAAATAATTGCATTCACTTGCATTCACTTTGACACAGACGGCAGAATGTTAATGACGCTATTCACCTCAGTCTTCCACGAACAGTTTTTATCCTCATTGTTGCACTCTCCGAGCAAATCGTCGATGAACTCCGGTGAATGCAGAGTTGTCTTCTCCAAGAAGACGAGGAACTGCTCCCTATTTAATCCCACGGGGTCCCCGCCCGATGTTTGATTGAGAGTAAAACGTCCAATGAGCCTCCGGGCCGCATGTTTCACACCACTGAAGCTGAAATCACTTTCAGGGTTCACCTGGGCCGAGAAAAATATAAAAATCCAGAAGAGTAACATCTGTAGGTTGAGTCCGATATTCTGGTGAAATGTCATCTTAATGTTTGATGCCTGACGGTGATAACGCTTACGTCATGTGGGCAGAATGGGACGGACTTCGGAAAACAAAGATGATATAATGACATTCTTCTGGCTGAGATATGAAACACTTGTGAATGATAGCTAAAGTAGGGCCCCGATTCTTAATTCTCGGGCGCATAAGTCGATTCTTAAAATTAGCCACTTTCTTCGAATACGCGATCCCAGGAAAAGTATGTCAACTGCATATCTTTTTTTTTCTTCTGCGTATGAATATATACTAGACCAGCGTATCATGGTCGATTATCTCAAATTGAATTTTAACAGAATTTTGGTATCCATTTTTTTGTACATGAGTGATGAGGTCCATTTACACGATTACGAATCCAACGTCAATAAAGGTCCACTTCTCATACCGCAGGCCATGGTGTAGCTAGAGTTTGGATCGTCACGCCCCAGTTATCCGCATGGCTGTCCAGCTGAGGTCAAGATCAGAAGCATGTCACTTTTTCCCTTGATAGTGTTGATGGAATACTGATAACTGATAGGGTGGCTCAAGGGCAGATAAAGAGTTAAACATATTGTTTATAATAGTCCATTTTCTAACCCTTCAAATGTGGATGATACTAGAATACCGGGGGCTGCTGTACCTAGTACAGTAACTCCTACGCAGTTACATGGCTTTGCAAATTTAATCTGTTTGAAGATTTGGCTCATTTTTTTTAAAAACAATGCGTAACATAGGACTGACAAGCAGTATGGACTGACAAGCAGTATGGACTGACAAGCAGTATGGACTGACAAGCAGTATGGACTGACAAGCAGTATGGACTGACAAGCAGTATGGACTGACAAGCAGTATGGACTGACAAGCAGTATGCAAAGAAAAAACGGTACCAAAGCTTGGGATATATTTAAAAAAAATTGATACATATTATTAAATTGATATATTCATTAAAATTCAAAAATACATAATTAAAAACGATAACAGCTTACTGAACAACAAGTGAAAAGGAATAATCCTGGTAAAATGCAGATATTAATATACACTCACAAAGAGAACAATCTTGTGAGGCTCTTATGAATATATTACGTCTCGTAAATGTCAGGGAAAATTAGCGAAAAATCTCTGGTTGGGAAAGCTGCCGGCTTTTTTAAGGCAAGTGAGTTAGAACTCTTCCAAAAATAAACACTAGAAGTTATTTCACCCGATAGCGATGCCTTGGAACAATGGAAGAGTCGATTTTCAAAATGCTGTATCTCCATTTTTTGGCGTTTTGAGTTAATCGACTTTTTCTGCCACACAATGATGGCTTAAATTTTCGGAGAAGTAAATGCTAGTTTAGGTATATATTCAAAATATAAGTTAGATTATGATGAAAATTGAAATGTAGGTTAATTAAAATGTATTTATTGACTTGGTTGAATTTCTTATTTCGTTTCAAATGCTGTGTATCCACCTATAAGTTTGAGACAAAATACAGTATATCCATTTTGATAGCATAACATTATTCCCAGTAGTAAATAATTCAAGCTGTTTATAGATTACAAACCACTTACATAACAAACTAAAATTAAATTGTATCATCTACATTATATAATTGTATATGATTAATGTTTTTATTGATATATTAATTAACAGAAAAGTATTATAAATGCCAGGAAGTCGCTTGTAATAGTGTAATATTTAGAGTGCTATAAGTTTGTATGATTTGTTTTTATAAATCTGAATTCTAAACAAATGTAGGCAAGATAATGTTCAATTCAAAAATCATTTTATTTGAATTTAGAGAAACGACACAATAGAAAATAATGAAGTGTCTGATTCAGAGTGTGCATCATCTTCAATAGCAGTTTGGTTTTGTTCCAGGAAAAGTTGCCGCTTCTTATTTACATTCAAATCAGAGGGCAAATGCTTCAGTCCTTGAGCAAACTTTCTTCTGTAATGGCTGGATCTGCATGTAAAAGATTGAATGTGTATTAAATAACACAGCTAACTCTGTAAAACAACTTTTTATTTTCATTTCCTTAACACTTCTGATGTGTAGTAACCTTAACCATAATAATAGTAATGTAAAATAAAATTTAGTGGTTTTTTGAAATAAACTTACCGGTAACTCACCTTGCAGAACCATTTATAGTGATTACACGTAACCGAGGGGATCTTTTCTCCGCTTGAATGAAGAAATGATTTATCCTTTTCTCGTGTTGAGCTTTTTTTCGTTGTTTTTTTCGAGATTTTATTGTACAAATAACTGTCTCTTTCACCCAGGCCGTCGTTATGCACCGTGTTTGTTGTTGTTTTACGTCGTGATGTTTAGTGCGCATGCGCAGAATGCCGCAGAATAGCTTGCCAATCACACGGATTGGTCCGAAAATATATACAGCATTTTGATAATAATAATTTAAAAAAAAATTCACACCGCGTTTTGAAAATAACATCATTTTTAGACATAGAATAATATAATTTTAAAATATGTTTTGTAGATAAACTTTAACATGTCCTAAAGGAACCTGGTTTGCTCTACAAGAATGTACAGCTATCTCATTTTTTCAAAATGGCGGATACCTCATTATGAAAATCGACTCTTCAATTTAGAAAGTAAACCACATCATTACAATCAAGGGAGGGAAATGTGTGGTACAGCGCTACGCATTTCATCGGCCACGTCCATCAAGTGGTGGACACCAGGGCTAACATTAAAACGAAAGTTAGGTCATCACACAGGACATAACATAAACTCTACCAAAAAATGCCCGGAGTGAACCATTTAAGGAAAGTTGACGTGAACATTGACAGGAGTCGACTAAATTGACCTAAAGCGACAGAAACAAACCAAACCAACACCAAACAAACAACAATTAAAAAAAGAACAACAAAATCAAGCTAAGTTTGTAAGGCAAAACCTATTGTAACACACTCGTTTATTTATTGTAGCACAGATCCATTTGTAACGCCATCGTAATAATATCTCCACGTTTTCACAACTGCCACAAAATCATTTGAGGACTCATTCGACTAGCATCATGACTTTTATTGAATCACAATGAACTCACAATAAAATATCATCTCTGTCAATCAGGGTAAAAATGTAATTCTTCATGTATTTCCCCTTCTCCATGTACAACATTAAGATGCTGTAAAAAAAAACTATATTTAGTAGATTATCGTAGCATGAGCTATGTTGAAAATATCCCCAACAGCTGTCATCTTGCCCGTTAACTGTCTATCTCTCCCACCCAATAATTCCTTAACTTCCTGTTATTTCTATTTAACAAAACAATACATTATTTTTACGAAACAAAATGGATATCTAAATATTAGATATGTGACACCTATCAATATAATTGTGTCTAGTCCAGCAGGGTATCTTAAAATCTTTTGGAACGCTGTGTCACTTAAATAAAGTGTTAAAAATCAATGCAGCACTGTTACATTCGGCATAATACGGAATGGATATCTCTAGATGTTTTTTGAACTTTTCGTACACAACTGTGTACATCTCACGGAAGCGTAAGTTGAACTTCAACTATCGAAAACTGGTCATCAAATAATTTGACAATGAAGTCGCCTGATTTTTTTTCTTTTTTTTTTTAAACGCATGGTAAGGGGAAGTGTTTGTACACGTGTTTGCAGTGATGTCACCGATGGGGCATTTTGGGGCACTAATTGGGGCATGATTGGACACTGATGGTCATGGTTGGACATGATGGGGAACTAATGGGGCAATATGGAACACTGGTGGAACACGCTTGGACATGATGGGGCACTAATGTGGCATGCTGGGTCGCTTATGGGGGCATGATGGGGCACTAATGGGACATGATGGCGCCCCAATGGAACATGATATGGCACTAACGGACCATGATGGTGCACCGATGGGATATGATATGGAAAGATCGGGCATTATCATGCGCATGGGGCATAATGTCCAAGATTGGGGAAATGATCGGACATGATGGGACTTGATGGGGGCATGATGGGGACCTCAGCATGGTCAATAGCAACTCACCCAAAGCATTCACGCGTTACGCATATGTTTAACTTTCCAGATTGTAAAGCAGCAGTTTAGCTTTGAATCATTCAGATCGTTTTTAATTTTTAACAAAAAACGTTGTTTGAATGTCAAGACGTCTTTTTAAAAAAAATTTTTAAAAAATAAAATAAATAAAATGTAACCACTCACCCTAGGGATGGACTGGACCGCCGGGACACCGGGAAGATTCCCGATGGGCCGCTAGGACCGGTGATATAATACAAATAAAAGTCATGAAGATAGGGCCGCTTTTTGGTTTTTTTTTGTTCCCGGGCCGCTTTGATTTTTTCCCGGGCCGCTTTGATTTTTTCCCGGGCCGCTTTGAATTTTTCCCGGGCCGCTTGAACTCCCCAGTCCACCCCTGGCTCACCCTATTGTTTGTGAAAGAGTCGTGCTCGTGAACTAAGTTAATCTTAAGGCTACGACCACTGAGTAACTGTTACACTAATTTACATTAGTAAATCCTCCAGTCACTTGAGGTAACTAATGCTAGCATTTTGTTACGTTAAGATCGTGTTCATAATAAATAATAACTTCAATGGCAATACGAAATATCCATAAATATATAAATTATACATGTGTTCACTTCTTTTTCCCTTAACCATCCTTACTACTGTTCTCACACCTATCACACACTTAACGATAGTACAGACTCATTACACCATCTTCCAACATGGCGGCATGACATCCTCCGTCATACCTATCCCTTCTTGTTCTCTCCTTTGATTCTACATAAGATCAAATTAGCACTCGCAAAGCTATACTGCTACACGCCCCCCCCCGCCCCCCTCTATGCACACATTTTGGGAACCAACATTTTTAGTAAGAAATTTTCTTAGTATACACATCATTTAAAGTGCGACATAAATCCACAACACTCCTCCAAGCGTTATCTTATAGTTATTCATCAACACATTAAATACATCAACCAATAGTTAGTCAATTTATTGACTTTTTAAATGTATAATCATTGTATGCCAGCTTTGCTCTAAATATCTTCAAACAAAAAAAATCATTTCATTTTTTCAAAGTCAAAAAATTCCATGCTACCTAAATTTTGTTGCTGTTTTGTATAGACAATTTCATTT